TACAGCGGAATATTATTCAGCCTTTAAAAAGAAGGAAATTCTGACATCTACAACAACACGGATGAACCTTGAGGACATTATGCTCAGTGAAATAAGCCAGTCACAAAAGGACAATATTGTATGATTCCACTTATATGAGGCACCAAGAGTAGGCAAATTCAGAGACGGAAAGTAGAAAGGTGGCTGCCAGGCGTGAGGCATGAGGAACTTTCGTTTAATGGGGACAGAGTCACAGTTTTGCAAGATGAAAAGAGTTCTGGAAACAAATAACTCCGAACTATACACTTAAAAATGGTTAAGATGATAAATTTTATGTATATTTTACCACAATTAAAAATAATTTAAGAAAAGAGAGACACAGGAGGGGACAATTGTTTCCTGATTCTAACCACTCCTGAGGGCCCGTGATGCCTGAATGGGCAGCAGCCACCGTGGAACCGTGAGAAGAGCAGACCAAGCAGACAAGCATATCCCTGAGGATGGCAGCCAGAAATGATGCCACCCCTTCCCAACTGCTCCAAGGGGAAATGCTTCCAAGTGGAAAATATCATTCCCATTCATTTCAGCCAGCTCCAGAGTCCCCATATTGATAGTGATTTATGCTAAAAGAGTGCCAAGTCCAATTAAAGTGGCTACAACTATTATAATGGTTAATGTAAACAATGATAACACAGCAAACATATCAAGATAATTTCCTTTCATGAGTGACTGTTTTCCAACTTTCGTTACATTCTTTTGTGGCTATCCTGTGCCTTCCATCTAAGACAATGGCCACATATCTGATTCTGTAATGTTTATGTAAATCAACCTTTATTTAACACACACACAATGGTAAAACCAAAAGAATTCAGTAAAAATGCGTTTTAGGGAATATGATGCACAAGAATATAAGTGCTATAAACCAGCAAACCATGAGAGCTCTGAGAGGAGAATGAATTGCAACACATGCCATCTAAGCAACAAGATGACCACATGATGATTTTCATCTTGCAGTGTTCACCGTTAGCAAGACAAGCAAAATCAAACTTTGTCATCATGCTAAGAAATGTCTTGTAGGCTCAAGTCAGGGTATAAAATAAAATGCCTCATAAAGATGAATTCTCATAAGCCAAATGGCCACATCTCTAGGTATGACTGCATATGGAAATGTAGTGACTTTGCCAAAATTCTCTCACACTGAGCCATCGGAAACTTCTCAAATCAGTTCAGCTCAACTCAGGACACAAGTCCGCACAGCTCAACATAGAATGATTTCCATCTACATGGAAATCTTCACCTCATGATGTCTGTCCCACACCATGTGTTTCAGTCATCCATTGCTCAGTAACAAGTCACCCTGAAACTTGGTGGCTTAAAACAAGAGTAACTTACAATCCTCATGATTCTGTGAGTTGGCTACAGCTCAGCTAGGGGGCTCTGCCGCTGGTTTCTCTTGGGCTCAATCACGCAGCTGCATTCAGCTAGGAGCTCGGCTGGGCCTGAAATATCCAAGATGGCTGGCTGCAGGCCCATCAGGTGGCCTCTCTCTCCAGCAGGGTAACTGGACCTTTTACATGATGGCTACCTCCAAAGACAGATGGCTACCTCCAAAGACAGAGGAAGCCTGGGCCTGAAGCTCCAGCCAGCTACTTCCCTATACCCTATTAGTCAGGACAAGTCACAAGGCCAGTCCTACCTAGGGCGAGGGAAGCAGAAACTACCTCTGGAGGATGGGATGGCACGCACATACAGGGTAAGAGGAAGTGACGATGGACGCCCTTGGAACTCATCCACCAAACCATGGTCCTCCCCACACAGAAAAAGACAGACACACCTTTATGATGGCTCCCCACTCAATAAGAGAGCTGGTAACACCCACTCTTGTGTGTACCTCAGACCTGCTGTAAATAATGTGCTCTACATGATACAATAAATATATTTTATTGTGAAGATTATAACTTACCATGTCTAAATGCACACAAGCAGATCCAAATGAAACACTATTCTGGCTTCAGGTATAGTCAGGTGTCCCCGGGTGCACTTTACCTGCGGGGCTGTAATCACTCCCAGGCCCCGGGGTTAGGACAGGACCCATCCTACACGCTCACAACAGCAGTCCCAGTATCTAACATGCACCCCGTATTTAAGAGACTGCTCCTTCTTAGTTATTAAAAATACTGCTATTTTAAAATACATTCCTTTTTTCTTTAATACCATATAGAAAACACTTTTGTAAATTTTTCCATGTATATTTTACATTGTGGCAAAAATATGCCATTATCAATGATTTAAACAGTTATGCTCTAAGGAAGATAAAAATTTAACTATTATTGTAGTTATATGCTAAATTTACCTTCATTGAACCTTAAAAATGAGAGATTTTATAACATTGTGTTAATTCATTTTCTGTGAGTTACCTCTTGTTGGTGTCTAGTTCTAGATAATCAACTTGCAGTGAGAAATATTCATGCTTGGACCAACATCCATCTTACAATTTTGAACAGCACATTTTCTGATTGAAAATTCCCATTTTTATAAGCATTTGTACTGTTCCTTCATAACTGAGGGTTCTCATTTGCTCAAAATAAAATATCCTTAACTTAAATGAAATATCTTTACTCCTCAGTTACCTAAAATGACTTATCTTCAATCAGAATGCAATGAAAATAATTTTCTTAAACAATATAAAAATTAAAATTAACATGTTCTTAAAGACACAAAAGTGTTCAAACAACCATGCCAGGAAAATGCGGGCTTTAGGAAATTAATATTCAAATATTTTATCATTATTCTCTCACAACTATTACAAAATCACTAGCTATACTACAAATTTTCAGAACTGCCTCTCCCAAGAAAATATAATTTGAATACGATATATGGAAAACCTTTAAGTTTTGTTTGAGTGGTTAAATCCAGTCCCCTCCCTTTCTACTCTGGGCTGTAACCTAATTTTATAGGTTTCAATACTGTTTCCTAATTCCCAACAGAGATTAACTTTTGGGATTTGGAAATGAGAAACTGGGATTCCAGGAATCTTAAATTTTCTTAAAATACTTCCAATATTCTTATTCTCTTTACTCATTAATATGGATATCTTAAAAATCAGTTAAGAAGAAAAACCAAGTATAGTATTAAAAAGAACTTTCACCTATAGGGAATATTAAAACACTGGAAAATGTCAGCAAACATTACTAGGTACTATTTTTAATAACCTAATATTTGGATCTCTTAGCATGTTAGCACTACACGAAAGCGCAACTGGAAATTAACAACTTATAAACGATTTGCTTCCAAAGTTTATTTCTTGGAACACCACTCATATACTCTGTATATAAACTGCTTAATACTTATTATATTTACATTATTTACATTGTTAACAGCAGACAGGGCCACAAAACACACTCATAACGTGGCTATAGCTACAAAAAGACTAACTGATTAGACTGTAACTCCACACTTCTGTCCTCTTCCTGCCAATGGCAACTTTCTCCTTGTTTTCAACTTTGTTGGTGGATTCCTTCAAACAGTAACATTTCTGTGTTGATTATTCATTCTTGTGGGAGAATTATAATATTTCCCCCCAATTCCCTGACTTCTGAACTGATTTTCCTCAGGATTCATTTGAAAAAACCTGTAAATTTACCCAGAACAGCTGAGATTTCTATATATTCAGTTAACTACTGCAGGTGAACCTATATTAAATAAATATTAAGTGTCTATGTGTCAGGCACAATTCAAGGCAACGAACAAGTTTAAGGCACATTTAAAAATAATTCATGATTTACATCAGAAATGTACAAGCAAGTTAAACTAATATGAAACTACAAAAGCACTAATTTTCATAACTTGAATCTATAGCAGACACACGTGTGAAATCAACTTTACCTTATATTTCATCTTGGGACATGAATGAATGTAGAAACCCATATAATAATAGCTGAGTTGAGGTGTTTTTTCATGAAGTTGCCTAGTGAAAGCAATTTCTCTGCCAAAGAAGAATACATATGAAGATACAGTTAAACACAGTTCCAATATTCAAAGTACTATGTAATTTGATGACAAATATTTGATAAAATTTGATACTAAGCTTAAAAAAATTCCAAGTGTTGAAAGAAAAACTATTTTAAAAACACTGTGAGATGATTTTTACTGAAAAGACACTAAAAAACTCTAAATTATTTGGAGAAAATGCATCTAAGTTCAGGTTTTACACTTTCTTGGGCATAGTGGTTGATTTAAAATGCAAACAGCATAAAATTAAAGAGATCTCTTTAACATGGCTTTTTGTTGTTAGTCATTGATCAGATCAGGTAACCTCATCAAATGATTTACACTCACATTGGGGTGGTATCACTTACATAAAATCCAACTTTCCTACCCCCCAAGCCCGGCTCCATCTACCCCCACCTCCCCACCACCACCCACCTCCTGCGCTCCTTACAGAACACTGTATTACATCCCACCCCGTATCCTAGCCCATAAGACCTTCCTTCTCTTTATTCCAACCACCTCAGGGCACTTGGACTTGCCACCCTTTTACCTAGACTTCTACCTAAAAACTTTCTTCTTTCTTGGCTGCTCGAATGTCACCTGTTCGGAGAGGTCTTTCCTGACCACCCTGTATAAAAAGGGCCTCATGCCTTTTATTTTTGTCACAGCACAACCGAGTACCTAAAATTATGTTGTAGGTTTTCTAATTTACTGTCTGTTTTTACCAGGCTGCAAACCCTGTCTGTCATATGTATTTCTATGAATGGTGCCAGGACACATATAGACTGGACTCAAGTAAACATCTGCCCCACAAATTCACTACATTTCTAAAATTCATCGTTCAAAAACAGGGGAAATAAATGCCATGCTCAAGACCTCCAACGCATCCCATTCAAACCTTTTTTGAATCTGCGGACTAGATTACATAAAAGTCTATAATGGTTATAGATTAAAATGTAAACATCTGTATTTATAGGCTGATTGTTTAAGAAGCTGAAGAAATGGGGGAACTGCCTGCACAGGTGTCCCGGAGCTGCATTCCAGTCAGTAATGGCCCTGGCAACATGTGACCTCTCTCCCCAGTTTTGCTCTGACATGTCAATCTCTTGGCTGCCTTACTCTTCTATAAACTCAGGAACTCATAGTCTCAAGCGCACTGAAAGGAATTGACAAGGCTGAAGCGTGGTGGCAACTACCCCACTGCTTCCCACTCTCAGGCTCCTCTGCCACTTCCTCCAAGCCCTCCAGCCCTGGAATTTTCGAGAGATAACCAAAACAATAACAGAGCTCTTTCTAATTTTGCTGGGAATTGATTATTTACCATCTCAAATGCAGTAGGATTTCTATGTCTCTTAATTATTGAGACATGAAATGATATTTCATACTTAGGATGGGATTTATTATATAGGAATAAATATCATTCTTAATATTTATCTGAGAAGTCTAGACAAATCCACAGTTACACACTATACAGTGATAATACAAAAATAAAATAAAATGGCAATAATGTCAAAGTACTAACTGATTTTGGTACAAAGAAAGATATCTTTTCTGAAATAAATAGAATACACTTCTAAAGTTACAAAACGTGAATGCTTCAAATTATCAGTTCCAATTTCAGTGATATCACCAAGAGTCATGAATATTCTTTATACTCTTCTACTTCTATAATTCAAAAAAAGCCACATACACAAAAAATAAAATAATCTCATAGTCTATTTTACTTTGATGTGAAAACATGACTATGAGAGAGGCTGGGATGAGTAAAGGGAATAACTGACAAAACGCGAGAGGGAGAAAAAGAGAGACTTGAGTTCCCAAACAGAAAAATTATCCTCAATCTCCTTCCCCTCTTCTACCACAGATATACACAAACAAGCAGGAATAGAAACAGAAAGAAATAGTTCTGTGGACTAACACCCCACTCTCTTTGCCATCAGGATAATGCACCTAAACACGTCTGTGCTGTGTTGCGTATATTTGCAGCCACGGACGAAAGGGGGAAACCGTGTTCTGATTAAGATCATAGAGTCAGGCAGAGCCAAGGACTCCCCAGTTCTGTTCCATATACTTTATATAACTGCATATTTCTTCCAACAGACTCACAAGGCTTTAATTCATTTTTACCAGATTCATTTAACCTTTATGAAAAAAACATATACAACAGTGATGACAAGAAACAATATAAATAACACTTAAGGAACGTTAAGTGGTACTGACAGGTGAACTTAAATAAACACATAAACTAAACAACAAAAGCATCTAACACATACGATGACTTCTCATACACTAGACTAGATGGATACCTTATAAAGCTGAGGAATTCCCACACTGGCCTCAGTTCTAAAAGTGGTACTACTACAATAGCAACAAATTACTATGTTACTATCAAATAGGATTTCTACTGTTATATGATGAAATGTAATCAAATGAGGAATTGCTGCAAGTTCTACATGACCCACTACAACAGTCAAAAGCAGTCTTACCGTAGTGCAGAGTAGATACCCAAAGACAGAAACGAATAATCTGGGTCGTAGTACAAATACACTGACGAGACGCAGTATGGAAGGATGTCAATCACCCCCACAGCAATGATCTTTCCATCGAGCCAATACTGCTGGTGAAAGGAGCCATAGCCACAATCTGGTCCATTAGGGGGATTCTCTGCCTATAAAAAAGTAGACACACAAGCATGACAGTTTGTCATTTTTTCCTTTATATTAAAAATCTTAATAATTAATCTACTGTACTTTGATTTTACTCAGGTTAGCAAGTCCTAAAATTTCCTCTGTGTTGCCATCATTTTCTGTAAAACTTTTTACTTGTAGAAACACTGACCAAACAAAAGAATGAAAAAGAGAAATCAACATTTTTTCCAACTTGTTTTAAAATCTGCCAGTAGGCAATATAAGTTTTACAGGGTAAATAAATAGTAAACTATATTTTTATGTTCCACACAAAAGCTGGGAGAGAAATGGTGTGTGAGAAAAGGTGAAGAAGGTAAAAGGAAAAGGCTGGGTGAGGACAGAGCTGTCCCCACGCTGCCAGCCAGGCCTGGCCTGTGACTACTCCTACAGATAAGGAATCTGACCCCATTATGTTTTCTAGGTAAGAGTTGCTGTGTAAGTACAAAGGGCAAAATAAAGAACAAAATAAAGTTATTTCCTTATCATTATCTTAATGTAACAATAATCCCACAGAAGAAATTTAGAGATTTGAAAGTAACCACTTTTATTGTAAATAGTTGAGTGGTAGCTCTCATTTTTAAATTCAATATGATTTTAAACATAACTTGCTAAATGAAAACTATGAAACAGCATAAAAAATGCTTTGCTAGAGACTAAATGGATGTTAGAGATTAACAGTTTAAGTGAACTAAAACAAAACGTATATCATTTTCACATGGTTAAAATCCCAGAGAATGTATATGGGCAAAATCTACAAGAGAATGAAGACAATGAAAAAAGCAGGTTTGCTAATACTAAAACCAGAAAAAAAATTACAGGATAGGAAATCTACACATCAATATCGCTCATCAATATAGATGCAAAAATGTTCACCAATATATTAGCAAATAAAATCTAACAATGTATAAAAAGAATTATACACCATGACAAAGTGGAATTTATTCCAGGGTATGCAAGGCTGGTCTAACATTAGAAAAGTAATTTTAAAAAGAAAAGCAATCAATGTATTCCACCATGAAAACAAGCTAAAAAAAAAAATCATATCAATTGATGCAGAAAACACATCTGACAAAATCTAACACCCATTCATGACTAAAAACTCTCAACAAACTAGGAATAGAGGGAAACTTCCATCAACTTGACAAAGAACATAATACAAAAAATCCAGTAAACATCACACTCAAATAAGAACCTGGATGCTTTTTCCCTTAAGATCGGGAACAAGGCAATGATAGCCTCTCTTATCACTCCTATTCTACATCATGCTGGAAATCCTAGCTAGTTAAATAAGACAAGAAAAAGAAATAAAAAGTATGCATACAGACTTGGAAGGAGAAAATAAAACTGTCTTTGTTCATAAATGACATGACTTACTATGCAGAAAATCCAAAAGAATCATCAACACAAAAAATGGAACTAATAAGCAATTAAAGTAAGGTCACAGGATACAAGGTCAATATACAAAAGTCAACTGCTTTCCCACAGACAAGCAATGACTGGAATTTGAAATTAGAAATACAATACCATTTACAAAACCACCAAAAAATTACATACCTAAGTATAAGTCCAACAAAATTTGTACAGAATCTATATGAAGAAAACCACAAAACTCTGACAAAGGACTTTTTTAAAATGTAAAAAAATGGTAAACATTACATGTTCACAAGCTGGAAGACTCAATATTGTTTAGCTGTCTATTCTTCCCAAATTATTCTACAGATTTAATGCAATCCCAATCAATTTGTGGATATACACAAATTGATGCTAATGTTCATATGGAAAGGCAAAAGATCCAGAATAGCCAACACAATACTAAACAAAAGTGAAGGACTGACACTACCTGACATCAAGACTTACTATAAAGCTGCAATAGTCAAGACAGCATGATACTGGTGGAAGAAAATATAGAACAATAGAACAGAACAGAGAGTCCAGAAAGAGATCCACACAAATATAGTCAACTGACCTTTGACAAAGGAGCAAAGACAAGTCGATAGAGACAGGACAGTCTTTACAACAAATGGTGCTATAACGAATGGACATCCAAATGCAAAGAAAGCAAAATCTAGACAAAGACCTTACATCTTGCAAAAACTAAAAATAAAAAATTAACTCAAAATAGATCATAAACCTAAATATAAAAGGCAAAACTATCCAACTACTAGATGATAGCATAGGAGAACATCTAAGTGACCTTAAATTTGGTGATGTTTTTAGATACAACACCAAAAGCACAATCCATGAAAGTAGTAATAGATAAGGTGGACTTCATTAAAATTAAAAACTTCTGTTCTGTGAAACACACTGTTAGGAGAATAAAAATATCAAGCCACTGACTAGAGAAAATCTTATAAAACACGTATCTCATAAAGGTCTGGTATTCAAAATTACAAAGAATGGGGCCGGCCAAGTGGCACCACGGTTAAAAACTGGCTTGGGACACCAGAGGGCTCTGGTTCGGATCCCACATATGAGGGCCAGTGACACTGCCCTCTACAGCTAAGATGCTGAACAACAG